TTCACATTTTGTATGCCGACTTGACGTGGTGTTCCTAAAACCAGTGATTAGTCATGTGAGGTGCTGCAGATAATCTATGTTCTCAGACTGTGAAAGTAATCTTTAGGACTCTGTAAACCAACATCTTGCTACATCTTTACTCAATAAAATAAAATCTAATCTGATTAACAGCAGGTAGAATGTCTGTGATGAACAATGAAAACAAATAGCAACTTGTTCTTTAAATACAACCCCCACCACCGTTTCTGTCACAAAATTAACTTAAACAAATTATCTGACCTCTAATACTCTGACATAGCCATTCTCGGCACTCAGGTGGAGGCAGGACTTTCCCAGGTTGTTTGTCTCATTAACGTTTACTCCCAGTCGAATCAAATCTGCCACCAGCAGGTGCTGGTTATGCTTTGCGGCGTAGAGAAGGGCAGTCTGTGAGTACAAACGTTACATCATTTAGTTAACACTGTGTGCAGTCCCAAGGCTACACAGGTTTACAAGATACAGTGTTGTATAATAAGTATTTGCCCCTTTACATATTTCATCTGTTTCTCTCTTTCTGTCTTACTAAAATGATTCAAATCATCAAACAAAATTTAACATCAGACAAAGATAACCTGAGTAAATGCAAATGAGGAAAAAGCTATGTAAACCAACCTGTCATGTAAAAAAACTAATTGGCCTTGAGGGTGTGGCTGAATGCGTTTAGGATGCCACAACATCTCAATCAGATTGAAGTCCAGACTTTGAACTCTCTGTGGAGGCCATTTTTGCCCTGTCTCTTTCTTATTATTGAATCATGAACAATGACCTGATTAGATGAGTTCTCCATATGCTCTTGGATTTTTTTTGGTAGGCAAGCCTGTCCTGCAAAGACTGACCACTTTTAGAAGTTTAGTAGCTTTCCCTGTCATTCACTGACCTCCAGAAAAATTTTGAAATGACTACACTGTTTCTCATATGTTCTTGAATTTGATCAGGGCAGGATGTGCTGCTTTTTATGAACTTACACCCTACCTCATGTTGTCAGGCAGGTTCTATCAAGCAGTTTATTGATTATCCAGGTCCAGGTTTTTTACAACCAGCTTTTCTCCCATCAATAAATGAAATCATCATTTTTTTCTATTTACTCAGATTATCTCTGGTTGATATTGGCATTTTTTGATGAAACATGTACAGTAGTGTGTATAGCAGTGTGACAAAAGGCAAAAACAGTAAAAATCTAAAAGAGGTTAAATATTTTTTCAATGTACCTAGAATAAGAGATGAACTGGGATCTGTCAGACACTGCTTTTCACTTTATGTTTCAAATGATTGATCTTGTTTAATTTTGGTGGCAAAAGCCATGGCAAAATAGTATTGTAGTTATAAGTTTATAAAAATGCACCAATCTAATATTGGTGTAATATGTTTGGGTACTGTACCATTCCATCATTGTCTTTGATGTCCAGGCTGTTGATTACAGCCATTCTTTTGGCAATGGCAAATGCCTGCGCTCTCTTTCCTATACACACCACTTTATGCAGTAGTCTGGAAGAAGAAGAACAAACAGATTTGAAAAAAATAAATACATCCGAGTATTTAATGAGATAAAAATGGGTTAGAACAGATTTTCTGCTAGCAAGGCGAAAAGGCTGCCATCAGGATGAGTCAAGTGCCGACTTGGGTGGAACTATTTTATTTTCACCTTCTTGCCAATTTGGTTTGAAGTTGCTCTGAAGAAAGGAATAAAACTTGAAGACAGTCTGTCAACACTTTGACAACTTTGTAAGCTCTAGTGGTATGGTTCCATTCTGGAGGTTCACCTTCCAGAATGGTAATAACCCTAAGCATCCACCTAGAGCTGAAATAAAATAGTTCAGGTCACAGCATATTAATGCGTGAGAATAGCCCAGTCAAAGTCCAGACATAAATCCACAGAGAGTTTGTGATTTTTACTGTTGCTTACAGAGACTCTCCATCCAATCTGACTGGGCCTGAGCTATTATAAAAAAATGGGCAAAATAAGTCCCTAAATGCACAAAACAGCTGTAAATGCAGTGCACTTTTTAGATTTTTCTTTATAACAAAAAAGATCTTTTTTTCACATGACAATTATGCACTACATTTTGCACTGCATCCCATTAAAAAACTTGATGTTAGTGGTAATTTCATGACAAAATGTGAACAAATTTAAGGGGTATTATCAGTTTTGAACTGTGCTGTAAGTGTCATTTAAAGGCACACTGTAGCTCCAGACTTTTATTATTTCTTTATCGTGTCTGCTGTCTTCTTTATTTGTGTTTGACATGCACTGCACAAACAAGGTACTTGCTGTGACTGAAAAGCAGTCCATGATATTAATTAATCCAAGCAAGAATGGGAATGTGAATTAACCTTGTTAAAGAAGAAAAAAATGAAGAGTGTGAGGTCAACTGGGGGTAAATCTACAAAACAAACAAGGTTTCCAGAATGGAATCAACAAGAAAGCGCAGGATTGGTGCTCAGTAGATGCAGTTTATTTCAGTGATTAGGATTGGATGGGGTGGGTGTCATCTCTACAACTCGACCAGTAAATATCAGCACCTTTAACTATCTGGTGATTTAGGTATTTTGTTACCTTTCTGAGGTCTCTAATTCGATGGAGGAACATAATCAGTGTGTTACTCCTGTAAAAAGTAAGCAATGGACACCTCTTCTCCCATACAGTAACAGTGGACACCATACTTACATCTTGCCATGCTCATCAGTAGTCAGGAGCTCAGCATCAGAGGCTGCCCTCAGCCGACTCTCCTCCTTCTGCAGCTGTGTCCAGAAGAAAGCAGAGCTGTTCAGGTCCCAGTGTTTGTTTGGCTTGAACCAATCTTTGTCACCATAAATTTGCATATCAGTGACACTAGAGGGCTGGAGGTTGAAGAACATGCAGTCAGGATGGGCCCATGCCGTGTCATAGTCTGAGGTGCTCGTCGAGTAGATCATGTAAGGTTCTGGGCTGGGAATGATTTCATCATATTCATCACCATAACTAACATCTACAGGGAAAAACACATGGGAATATGAAGTTGCAGTTAATCTTCCAGATAAGATTTCATCGAGTCGGAATACGTATGTGACATGTTCAATATGTGTTACCGGTTGGAGATGGTTTAGGATAGGCTGCGAAGTCAGAAGAAGATGGATTTTGGGATGAGGAGTGGGAAATGCAGCTACTTCTAAGATCCTCCTCCAGCACCTCGATGATGGATACCAGTTCCTCCAGGCTTTTAACAGGACGTTGTCCCTAAAAGTAAAAAGCAATCCTGGCACTAATTTACTAAACGGCATCCTCAAGATCAACATAACATGTGAAGCTCATCATTCCATAGGTTTCTTATCCATGGAGATAATAAGAAATCCACTGGGAGTAGTTGTACCTGTTTTTCTACACTCACCCTGGTAGGTTTAGTTCTTGCGCGAGTTCTGACACGTTTCATGTTTCCTGTAGAGAAGAGACGTAAACCTCAGTAGGAGATCAAACAACAAAATATCAAAATGTGGTACAAATCCGATTTTATCCTACACACGGCAGACCCTTGGTTTCTAAAATTGTTTTTTTTGTGATATGTACTTTTACTTTTATTTACGTACATTTGGTTTAAAAAGTTGTCCAGCACCTTGCAAACCAATTCATATTCTTTCAGCTTTTGCTCTTTCTGTAACTCTAAAACCACAAACTTTAATGTACAAAGTAGCACATAAGAGTGAAATGGAAAGGAAATGATACGTTCTCTTAAAAACCTTGTGTGTGGTAAAAACTAACACTGTATATCATCCCCATGGTGATACATCCTAGTGGCAACGTTAGCCTGTATGGATGTTTTTCTTCAGCAGGGTTGGAAAAGCTGCTTAGAGCTGATGTAAAGATCAATTGAGCTAAATACAGAGCAATCCAGGAAGAAAACCTATAAGAGGCTGCAGAAGACTTGAGAATCAGGTGAGGTTCACTTTCCAGTAGAACAACCCTCAACATTTTCTCAGAACTACCTGAGCCTTTTTTTAGAGAAAATAGCAAGGCTGTTAAAGGTATGTACTAAAAGACCTGGAGCTGGAACTGCAGTAAAAGGTGCATCTGCTGAATATGAATGCACATCAAACTTCTTAGCTTTATATTTGAAAAAAAAAAAGGAAAATAGAAAACCATTTGTCATTTTCTCTCTTATTCACAATTATCTACTACTTTGTTAGTCCATAATATAAAAGCCCAATAAAATCCAGTGAAGTTTGTGGTTGGAACATGACAAAAGGTAAAGAAAAGGTGTCGGTACTTTTGTAAGACACAGTATCTGTTCAGTTTTGCCCCAAATGATCGTTTTTATGGTGAACAGGCTAAGTAGGGAAGCGTCTGCATCCATTAGCAGCTACAAATCATAAAGCTTTGGTGATCCGACAAAAAGGTTATATATTCCATTTTATTTCATGTTTCGACAGAGTTTTCTTATTCAATAACTGTTAATAGAGAAGCTTTGATCTTTGGGATAGGATAGAAAGTAATGGGACAATTCACTTACCAGAGCCTTTTTTCGAGCCCCTTTCCTACATTCATACATGAAGTCGTTGTGGAGAAAACAAGAAAAGTTTCATTAATGTCAGTATATTTAAAATGCTTTAACATAGACAATGGCTAATTTTAAAATGACTGGACTTTAATAAGCACTGCTTTGAATCATGTGTTTGATCTCTGGAAACAAATTGCAGAACAATAACATAATCTTAAAGAAGAGGAAGAAGCAGGGGTGAAAGTAGTTTTAAATTTTTGCTGGTACTTAGGGACGGAGCTAGAGGGTGGCTGGGGAGGCACTGGGGGCATATATGCAAAAGTCCAAACTCAAACTAATTAAAACGTATTTTACTTTACTGTAGGCTGTCTGTATAAGGCAGAAATTAGAATCACCTGACAATGTAGAATATATATATAAATTTCAATTGTGGGAGGAAGCCAGAGTACCCAGTGAGAACCCACGCATGCACGGGGAGAACATGCAAACTCCATGCAGAAAGACCCCCGGCCGGGAATCGAACCCAGGACCTTCTTGTTGCAAGGCAACAGTGCTACCAACTGTTCCACCATGCAGCCCCGTTTTGACTTCATTTAAATAACGAAACAACAGTTGTTTTCGCTGTTTTTATTTAAAAGTCTGTAGATGGTGATTTATTGTTCGTCCTGTCCTATGCAAGCGGCGTTTTTTTATGTCTGTGCACCACCTGTGTAAAATCTCCCAGTCCATTAAATCGAACGCACCGATCTCCTTAGCAACCACTCTGTTTTGGAGGTAAGCGCGCATGCGCTCTCGTGTATCGTACGTGAAATCTCTGGTCGTAAGCGGCGTTTTCGAGCTGTACTGTGTTGTTTTAATTCAGCAAATGACATGAAACACAACTATTTACTCTCCCTTTGCTTTTAACTGGGGTATTTAGCAGCGAGCAGACAGACATTAAACGTAGCGGGGCTCGTTTTAAACGCTGGCCGTTCACAACAGCCTCGAGCTCCGAGGGGAGAGAAGCAAAGCAAGAGCTTTGAGGCTCCAGCATAGCAGAACAGTTCAGAAACTATTTGGAATGAGGGGAAAAAAGCTACATTTATAAACAGATTAAGTCGTGTTTTAGAATGACTATTGGTAGCGGATCTTCTTTGTGTGCTCGTGAGTAATTGCAGCCGTAACTGGTTCTGGATGACGGCTTCATAGCAGACAGCCGTTCTTCCCTCTTCTTGGTACTGCGTGCCAACGCAGAATCTTTTAGTGGTACGCAGTACCGGACCATACCGGCTCACTTTCACCCCTGGGAAGAAGTGAGTCAAGTTACTAATAAGTTTGGTGCATACATGAAGACACCTGGACTGACTCATTCATATTGCAAAAGTTTCTTAATAACTTAGGAAATATCTTACTGAAAGAATGAGTCAGTAACCTACTGTAGAAAGGAGAGAGGCTTTTTTCTCTGTCACCCTTGAGTTGATCTTGAAATCAGCAGATTAAGGTTATTATCTCACGGCATCTCACAGAGTTTTTCAACCCTTTGGAGAACATGCAGAAGCTTGTTGTTTTTTTCTTTAATTTTAGTTTTGTTTGTTTTTCTCAAACTTTACATGGAGGGCTAAAGATATGGATTTAGAAATCAAATCAGGCATTAGATACAAGCCATACCTACTACAAGTTCAGGAAGGAGTTGGTCATAGCAAAAAATGACTATTCTGGAGAGGTTTTTCTGTGGGTATGTCCTTGCATATTCCAAAGTGGCCATTTTGAATTTTCAAATGGCTACTATAGAGAACACCTTTTATGTATAAACTTCCAGCCTTCCTCTGACCAGTCCGTGAATAATGAGGGTCCGGTTCGATTCGGTTCTCCTCTGAAAAGTTGCTCTCCCTTCTCTACCTGCCTCATCAGGTGTTCAGCTACTCTAAACAAAATGTTTTGCCATGATTTGTTTGGAAAACACTCCAAAAGCCATCTGGTAATGCTACATGCACAATTATGCATCGAGGGGGCAGAAAACAAACACTGTTTACGCTTGTGTTTTTCAAAACAGGCTTCGAGTTTGGCTCCCGTTCCCTTATTTTTTTATGACAGGAATTTCACTGGCGACATGCCAGTAGCATCAGAATCAGCGCCAGAACTGTATGCAAGGAATAGCTGGGACTTGTATCACATAAGATGACATACTGTGGATATGACTGGATCTGGAGAGACCATAACTGAACGCAATTGGTCGAAATAGGTGTCAATCAATGGTGTCAAGAAATTGATTTTATTTTTTAAATGATGATTTTCTGAATGAAAACACCCATACTTCCGGAGCCTTTGCGGGCCGCCGACTCGGAAGGGGTTAAAAGAGATCACAATAAAAGCAGAAGGTAACAACCTATTCTAAGTAACTCTGTCACTTTCAAAAAGTTGAAAAAAAGGATTTACATTAAAGTCGTCAGGCTTCATGCCTTGGGGGACTCGGATTTTCTTCAGCAGATCCCTTACTGGCATTCTGACACGGACTCCAAGGTAAACCTTCTCACCGCCATAGATAGAACTTCTTGCACCTTGAAAATAGACAGAAAGCAAAAGGCTTGTTGGACAGGATAGGCTCTCAAACCACAAAAATGTTCTCAGTGAAACAAAATCTGACATTACATATTCCTTTTTTTGGTCCTGAAGAGAGCTCCTTCATATCGACACAGCTAGGAAGAATACTCTTAATTGAAAATAAATATGGCTGATATCAGTTGGGTATTGTTTCAATGGTCAGTCTTTGATTTTTTTAATGCTTGTCAAAAACTTTCCACATAATTTCATGGGAATTACTTTCCTTAGTTTAGTGTAGTTTAGTATTACACCTAAAACTGATGGAAACTCTTAAAATTCCCTTTTACTTGTTTTTAATTTGATTTTGTTTCAATCAGAGCCCTGGTTTACAGCCTTGTCTTCAAAAGTTCCACCTCAGCAAACACAAAACATTCCAAATACAACCATCTTGACATTTTAAAACAGGAGTTGAAGGTTTTATGTTCTAAACATGCAGCAGGATTGGCTGAAGGACATGTTATACTTAAGCACTGCATTTTTGCTCAGAAGTTAAAATTTCCAGGTTTAAGGTTGGAAAGATTAACAAGACACAGAGTAGGAAAGTTGGGTATATTACCAGCCCTGACCTCAAAATCCAACTTGGCTGACTTATTATTAAAACTTAGTGGTTGTATAAAAAAAGGTTAATTTGAACCTCTGACAGTTTGTATCTTATTAAATCTTTTGCACAGATTACTAGGCATCCTCGATTATAGGCTTGCATTGACCAATTGGTTAGAATGAGGGTGGTTGTCACATTGATTGTTACTGCAACACCATAGACACAGTTAAGCTAAAAAGTATTAATATCTCTGGCAGATTTAAGTTTTAAGTAATCTTTCAATTTTATCTGACTAAAAGCTAAAGATTAGGGTGATGGCAAGGAGACATTATAACCTCAAATAGCTTATCACCAGTGGTAATATGGTCAAAAATAGTCTCACTTCCTATCAAAATCAAACTTCTTGGGTGAATGTAAATCATTTTGACCTAAATCTGCCAAACTGATGTACCTGGACCAAAGCCTGCCACTTAGCTTGCCTTTTGAAAGATAAATATTTATTCTAAAACAGATTCAGATTATTATGTGCTATTAGATCACCTGGAAACACAGTGAAGCTGTCATTTATGTTCAGATTTGAAACATACGTGACTGGCCGTGGCAAAACCAAGATCACGTCTACCTGGTGTCGTTTTGAGTAATTTACAGATCCTGAAAGAGTGGAGTCTAAGCTTTCCAATGATGTCAACTGATTGTGGAAATCAAAAAGGAATTGAATAAGATATGACCATCTGAATGTCTGCACTCGCCAGACTACTTTTCTGAGAAATCAGCACTCAAAGATTAATTGTTTTCTCTCCCTGAAAGCAGGGCAGTGACAAAAGCTGCTAATTTGAATAACTTTGAATAGCCCACCTCCCCCAACTGTTTGTCAACAGAAGCTCCAACTGACTGCAAGACTTCTGTCACTGAACTCATAGTAGTATTTTTCTATGTAAAGATAATTTACAACACTGCATTCCAATCTATTTTTTATATTATTTATGTCTGCAAATTGCATCATGACTGCAACCTAATGTCTGCATCCTGGTGATTGGTTTGGTTTCCTCTTGTTTTTAGATCAGTCTCAATTAAAGTTCCAGTCTATTACATGTTCTGCCTTAGGCCGAGTTTGAAATCCTATCTCACAGCAATTAGCAAAATATCATAATAATTTGGATGTGTTCTTCTTAATATGTAATATGAAATGTCCAAAGATTATTGTAGCATGCAGAAATATTGTTTATCAGTCTTAATTTTATGTGTGCAGGTATGAATAGAGCCATGTGTTAAGGCCGCATTAACATTGTAGAACCTGGCAAACATGCTTGGGGAAGCCCATGATGCAGCAGCATATATGTCCCCCAGTGGAACCCCTCTCATAGCAGCCCAGGAAGCAGAGACGCTCCTGGTAGAGTGGGCCTTCACACGGACCGGCAGCGGACGGTGTCCTGCACTGTAGGCATGGCAGACGACATTCACAATCCAGTGGGAGAGACGTTGTCTAGAAAGAGGACAACCCAGCCTGGGACCACCATAGCACAGGAAAAGCTGGTCTGACCGTCTAACAGCTTCAGTGGCAGCAACGTATGCCTCAAGCGCCCGTACTTGGCACAAAAACTCAGACCCATCCGCCGTTGCACCTGACTGAGGCCGAAACCGAGCCAATCTCAATGGCTGGTTACGGCGCGAACTGGACAACACCTTAGGCACAAATGCAGTGTTAGGCCACAAGGCAACCCAGAACCTTTTCTGGACCCCATCGGAGACATGAGGGACTGACAGAAAGTGCATGCACCCCCAACCCCTTAGCCGAAACAATAGCCAAAACAAAAGGCAGTCTTATAAGAGAGCCACTTGAGGTCCGCCTGCACCAAAGGCTAAAAGGGGGAGCAGCACAAAGCTTCGAGAACGAAGGGCAGATCCCAATCGGGCACTCTCCAAACCACGGCGGGCGCAACCTACGGCCCCCCCAAAAAAAGGGGGAACCATATCATGGCTCCCCACCGTTGGGTCGTCAACAGATGCATGATGGCATGAAATTGCTGCGACATATACCTTGGGGGTCGAAAGAGAGCGGCCCTTATCAAGCAGAGACGGGAGAACTCCAGAATAGTGGGCACCGGACAAGAAACTGGATCTTCATTGCGGCCAGAACACCACTGAAAAAAAAGACGCCATCTGTTGGCATACTGCTGACGAGTAGAGGTGCCCTAGCACTCAATATAGTTTGCCTGACACTGTCCGAACACCCAGTCAGCCTCCCAGTGGCCATGCCCACAGCTGGAGACGTTGGGGGTCGGGGTGCCATATTCGTCCCCCCAACGGGGAAAGCAACCCCTCCTTTTTTGGAAGACACCATGGGGTGCCGTGACACAGGCTCCAAAGCAGCGGGAACCACGGCGGCGGCCAAAAAACGGAGCTACCGAAAACAACCTGGGGGCCCTCTCCGAAAACCCCCTAGAGTAGGCCAAA